CGGGGGGCGGGAGCCGCGAGAGCGGGCGAAGCCATGGTGTCAGCAGTGAGGCTGTCCCGAGCGCGGGCCACGGCAGGGTGCTTCACCCGCTGCCGCTGCCGGCGTGAGGGTGGCTTCTGGGCCAGGGCCAGGGCCAACACTTGGACTGAAATGTACGCCGACCGTTAGGCATGTTCGTGGGAAGAAGAGCAACGTCAGAAGCTGAAGTTACTGAAGTGAAGCTTGGTCAGAGTAGAAGCGGGGTGTGAGGTACGCAGGGTCACTGTTTAACGGCACCGCTACTACGTGGCGAGGGGTGCGCCGGATTTACTTAGCTGTCGGGTCAGAGGTCGGCCCCACAGTTTTAAAGGCCTTTTCGGCTGTCACAGAATCACAGAACATTAGGGGTTGAAAGGGACCTCTGTGGGTCATCTAGTCCAACCCTGGGCAGCCTGTTCCAGTGCTCCGTCACCCTCAGAGGGAAGAAATTCTTCCTCATGTTCAGACGGAACTTCCTGTGCTTCAGTTTGTGCCCATTGCCCCTCGTCCTGTCGCTGGGCTCCACTGAAAAGAGTTTGGCCCCATGCTCCTGACACCCACCCTATAAGGTCCCCTCTCAGCCTTCTCTTCTTCAGGCTGAACAAGCCCAGCTCCTTCAGCAGCTGTCGGGCGAGGTTGACTTGTGGTAAGGACTGGGAGTACGGCACACGGGAGTGCTCCCGCCCCAGGGCGAGCAGAGGGCATGTCGGCCATCACAGCCCGCTGATGCTGCAGCAGGAGGCTGAGCTGCCCAATGCGGGGAAGGTGGTCCGTGCTGCCGAGGCTGTGTCATTGCCCTTCAGGTATTTCTTGCTGGTGATATTCTCTGTGCGGACGTGGATCCCGTGTAGCCGCTGTTTTCTCTGACGCTGTTTTATCTGCATGCCAGAAGTTACACAAAAATGTGTCTGGCATAGTTTGTGTCATGCTGGGTGCAGTTTAAATAGTGTGAACAAATACTTTGCAAGATACTGGCATAATAAATTATAACAGCATGTTTGTAATGGGAGAAGTATGTGGCTTTGGTTTTACTGGTCATTTTCTTTGCGACAAGAAAATAGGGGCAGAATTCATTCAGCTTAGGCACTGAAGTTAGCTATTGAGGTCCACTCTTGGAGCCCTTCATAGGCAGTGAGACAGGCTCCTCAAATTGTTGTCTGGCTCTTCCTAAAATATGCATCTGAGAAAAGTTAACTAAATACTCACTGGAGGTCTCTGCTTTTCCATTGTCAAAGACGACAGCAAGGAAGATTCCTTTGCTAGACTCTTGATTTAGACATCAGTATTTAAGTGGAATGAATAGTCTATTGGAAGGCTAGGGAGAAATGTGATAGCAATTATGGGGGCAACTTTTATGAAGATTACATAGAAACAGACTATCATAGGGAACATCAGGAAAAAGTACTAAGAACTTGTAACTGTGTTCCCCCTACCTAACCTTAAGTGTATCGGAAGTGCTTTAAGTATGAATATAGTCTACAGACTGTGAAGAATCCCACCTAAAATCTGAATCTCTGTTTGGGCTGGCCAAATTGCGCATCGTAGTTAAGATCCAAAACTGAAGTGTCATGGATTTGAACTTCACTTGTGTGTATATGACTTGAATTCAAGCCACAGTTGCAAGATCTGTGGAAACAGTCATCAGTAAATAGAGCTGGGTTGTTGGTTTGGTTTTTTTTTAAGTTTGGAGTTGTGTTTTACTAGCATGTATAGATGGGACAGATGAATCATATAAAGACACAACAGTTATAAGCATATTGATATTTCTAAATTGCAGGTTATGTTTTGAGTCTGCAATCAAAGAGATTTTATAAGGATCTTTTTCTTTCGAGATGTATGCATAATACTTGTGTTAATATTTTCTATACCTAATTGTTATTGAAGTAACATTTCAGATTTTTTTTGCTGAAGAAATCAATGTTTTCTTTAGGCAGTTTGTGGATTAAGTTAAATCTGCTGTTAAAAATATAGTATCTGATTCATTTTACTGTACATGCACAAACCTCTTGAAAGCATAGTATATTTTCCTGGTATAAACAGGGGAATAAAGCATAAAGATGTGATTATTATTTTGTAGACTGGACTGTGCACAGACTGTATGTTTTTGGTATGGGGCATTTTGTTAAGATACCTGCAAAGAGAAGAAAGAACAGTGTAACCACCATAATGATGAAAAAGTAGAAATTATGCAAGTGGAAATGAGTAAATACTTGTCCAAAAGGATGTCTAATTTGTAGACTGGATGAAATGGAGTATGAATTAGAATTTTATTAAATGGTTCTTTGATTTCACACGTCATGAAATTATCTTCATCACTTGATGGTCATCTTTTCCTACCATACAGCTGAGTTTGTGGATTTAAAAGGTTTCACTATCACATTTTGCTCATTCATGTGCTTACTTTGATTTTAGGAACTGAAAAGGTCACATATCATTTGGTTTTCATTCTGCTGGTATACAAAATTTAAGTAACAGTTTTGATGTGGTGATTCAGAGGGATTACTCTGATAGAGAAACAGGTGCCTAACGATCTGTTCCTTTATCAGAGAGAGCTGGCAAGATAAAGCACGAGCTTTTTTAAAAATGATTGCTGGATACTGGACATGCATTAGAGGGAAAGGGTTTTCATCCTGGCTGTGTGTGCCATGGGGAGCTTTGGCTTTTTTCATTTTCACAGTCCTTCTTTAAGTTATAAATAACATAATGTTTTGCTTTTCACCATACTCTTTTGTTTTTTCCTATCCTGTTACACAGTGGCTGTGCTGTAGGCTAATGGCAGGGTGCTTAGTTCAACCTCAGACAGCCTTTTCTGCATAATTGGTTTAGTTATGAAACACCATACTTTCAGTTAATTAGTGTGATTACCTACCTATCTGTAGATAGGAGAAATTTGGTATTCATTTGGTTTTTCCTTTGCAGTGAATGCCCATAACAGTAATAAAGCCTTCCCTGAGTAAAATATTTGTAGCCGTACAGGGCATGAAACAGCACATGCATTTGGAAAAATTTCACAAGAAAAACTGAATACTAGATGAAGCAGCAGCTGTCTTGTTCATACACTTCATGCACGTGGTTCAGACATGAATTCAGAAAATTATATAGATACCAGTTTGGGGTTTTTTTACTGTTTTAGGTAACTTTTCTTTTTGTTGGTGTATGTAGAGAGCTAATGAAATTTTCTCAGCTTCAAACTATGAAGTCCAGTTTATATCCTTGTCTGGCAAGGTTATTTTCTCTATTTGGATTAGAAGACTAAATGTACTGAAGGCTTTAAATGAGCAAATTCCCACACTGTGTTTGATAAACCCCCCTTTGATCTTTTTTGAGGAATGATTAAACATAATATACAGATCTTAGAGTAACCATTTGTTTCACCTGATCTTTGAACATAATACAGTATATTTAGGGGAAGAGAGACATATTTCTGCAGGTTTTTAGCCATATGCCCAGTTAAAAATCAAATATACTGCTATATTTGTAGAACAAATTGAAAAGAACAAAAGCCACTGTAGATGCCCATATTTTGCCATTCTACTGAGTATTTTGATTAATGCTAAACAGAAGACCAATTTGTCAGTAATAGCATAGCATGTCATAGTGAGATACTGCAAACATCAAGTATATCTTACTGTGATATATGAGCTGTGACGGAACAGAGCACTGAAGTAGTATATAAAATTTTTATTCATAGTAAACCAGGAGCACTTGTAAAATATTGCAAACAATATAAAATATATGCTGTTGCATAAATAAATAAACATTTGTACTATCAAAGGCAACAGAGAAAGGGTTTTTTTAAGGGGTCTGTCAACAGGAATTCTCAAAAGCCAATGCCAAGCGAAGGCTTGAGTAGCAATTAAGACCAGAGAAATAAAATAAAGGCACTTAAAGATAGAAGGGAAGTACAGATTTATTTTTAATATAATTTGAAAATACAATATTAACAAACATGCAAATAAAAAGAAACTGAGATACTTTTATCCCCAGAATGCTTTTTTTCACAGTGATATATTTTCAAATAGCTTTTCATGATA